AAAAAAAAAAAAAAAAAAACAAATTAATAAGAGTTGGGAAGGTTCACTGAAATCTGTTTGAGTATTAAAAGTGCAATGGAAATAAGCACAAAAGGGTGTAAAACGTAGAGAAAGGGACAAAAAAAAAATATTTAGTACTGAACAGCAACATATAACACGAGCAAAAAAATGACGAAAACTAAAACGAAGCATTTAGGAACATTTAGCAGGATGGAGAAGAACGAAGAACGATTTTTCCTTTCTTTCCATTTTTTTTTTTTGCAATACGTTAAATCGCATGGGTATTTATGTCATTGTTGTTGCTTCTATGCGCTTATTTGTCTGTTGAAAGTAGTATATGCATCCATATGTATGAATATAACTTCATCAGCGTTCAATAAATGAAGACTTTCACAAATGATAGTGCTTTGAAGAGTCCAAACGAATCTTTTTTCAGCAGTTGTTTTTTCTTTTTTCTTTTTCCTCTTCTGCTCTTTTTGTCTTTACTGTTCTCTTCTGACAACTTTTGCACAGTAACTGATATTTTGTTTTAATCCCATACTAATTCTCATTTACTTAGTTAATTCTAAAGCAGGTTTACAGCTACCTATTTAACCGCAGTGAACAAAGTTGTTGTTGTTGCACTGAGTTATTGAATGATCGACACTGAACACCACGTGACTGCCTAGTAATTTGACTGTTGACTGACTGCGGTTAAGTAAATGATCATAAGAATGCTGGAGAGAAAGACGAGACAGATTGTATCTGTTTTTATGGTCATTACTTGTCAGGATAGATGAATTCGTTCACGAGGATCTGTTGATTCCGATTGCATAAGTCTTTGAATTTGAAACCTGTTGGCCATTTAGACAACCTTTGTTACGTTTCTGTTGAGCTCTCAGTTTATGCATTGATGAAGAAAATGTAATCTTTTAAATTATATTGTGTTTTCTTCCTTTTTAATTTTTTTCTTGTAATTAAATTACTAAATTAATATTTTTAGACCCATCTATGGCAGTCTTTTTTTTTTTTTTTT